CCCGATTCTTAAACATTACTCCGCAAATAGTAATGATCATTCCATTCCGAATTTCCAGTAACGCCTTTCCGATCTCCCTGTGTTTTCGATTACGATCTCCTGTTCAAAAACGATTACGAACTCCCGTCGAATATTTGTTGCGGCAAAAAGTCATTTCCGAACACCCGGACACATGTCCGGAGTTCGGAATGACTTGGTGCGAAATGTCCGTCACCCTATGAGGAGTGTATTTATCCTCGAGAAATAAGCTTCTAATAAAGAATTTCAAAATACAAGCAGAATTTAAACAGAATTCGGCTACAAGTAGCAGAATTCAAACTTTCAATAGTCATACGAGGAGTGAATATATTTACCAGGAATGAACTTCTCGTGAAGAATACAAAAATACAAGCAGAATTTAAACAGGATTCTGTTACTTGTAGCAGAATACAAAATTTTAAAAGGTATAGGAAGAATGCATATGTCGACGAAGAATAAACTTCTAGTGAAGAATATAAAAATACAAGCAGAATTTAAACAGAATTATTCTATAAGGAACAGAATTCAAACTTAAATGGTCATACCAGGAGTGTACTTATAAAAACGCATTTCTTTATAATATCACAGAAGATTTTGACTTATTGATACATACACTGATTATTAACGACATCTATTAAAGAAACTGTTGATAAGTTAAACTCTTTCGTAACGAATCAATAGTAGAATGTTAAGATTCAACTCGATTTATTTTCATTTCTTATTAACTTTCACAAATTTATCATGAATAACAATCACTCTAACATAGAAAATAATAATAATCAAGATTTTAAATCAATAAATGATATATCACAAGAAGATCCTATTATTACTGAAGTAGATATTGAAAAAGAAAATAATCTTTCCAATAAATCGTATTTATTTATAATTTTAGCATTATCGTTTACATCAAAATGAATTAGCAAAAAAGCTTGGTGAATATCTACTTAAAGGTTATTGTATGTTATTTGATACTTGTCAAATTTGTAATGTATATAATCAATAATGATCTCTATAAACTTATTATTATTTAATATATCTATACATATATTAGTGTATACTTCTTCGTACACCTGATCATCAATTATTTTGTGTTGATTGTCATGAAATTGATATTGAAAATAGTTAGCTAACAAATTTTGTTTCTTTTTTTTTAAATTTAATATTCATTCTTATGTATTTTTCTTTTTCTAGAAGAAATTGTAATAACAAATAAGAAAAAAGATGATATAAAACATTCAATAAAACGAAATGAATATATTAATAATTATAATCGACTTGAAAATAAACTTAAATGGGCCGTTAATGAAGTAAAATAAATTTTATTTAATTGTTGTTGTTTTTCGACGATACCAAGTATTAAACTCAAATCTAAATAGTAGTGTAAATAACTAAATGAAGTTTTCTATCTATATCGAAATCTTAAAAGTAGATTTCCAAGAGATACCAAACACAATATTTTTTTTGTAAGGACTTTCCCTTAAAAAGTTATAAGCATCATAAAGCAAAATCTTATTTTATGCTGTTTACAACTTATCCAAACGTAACGCTATGACGTTTTTGACACACTTTTTTTGCATTATCTCTGAAACTAGGAGAACTAGAAAGTTCGTTCAAACGCCATTTGTCGCGGCTTGTCAAACTCTATTTATGCCATAAAAAGATCCTTTTTCTTTAGAGCCGCTAATAAAACTGCATTTTCTTGTGAAAATATTTCTCCAAATTAAACACTTCTAGAGCCACTTTTGTAGAGCTTTTAAACGCTAAAAAGTTTTTTTCTAAAGTATTATTACTTAGATAGAAAATGCAAAAAACAAACGTAACACTGTGACACAGTTCTTTCTCGACCAATTTTAAGACACTTAACATGGTCAGAACGATTTGATTTTTATAAGTTTTCGTCTTTTCTGTATAACTAATTGTTCTACGTAAGAATGAGATCGATACATCGACATGGAAGCTTACAAAAGATGCAGTAAGTTGAAAACTGTATAAGAGTCTACAAATTGTCCTTAGCCATGAAAGTCAAAACTAAGTAGGCCATTTTGTACATAATGAAACTTTGCATCGAACGGTATGTCTCTCGACTTTTTTTCGAAAAATTTCTTGGTTAGAAAATCCAAAATACGATTTTTGAAAAGTTTAAAAAGCTGAAAACTATCGTGTTTGTTGAATTTAATGTTTGGTATTGTAGAAAAATATGTTGATGTTATATTTTTTGATTACTATTGTAAAATAATTTTTATTTTCTATAGTTAACAAAAAGTCAAAATCCAAATCGTATTAATGAAATGTGTAAAATTATAACTAAATTAGCACAAACAATAAAAACACTAAAAACACAAGAAATAACATGTGTAGAGAATTAAAATAAAAAAGAACATTGTTTTTTTTATTTCAGATATTAAAATCATGGTACGCAAAGTTGCAAAACATGTGGCAAGAAATAAGAAAAAATATTGGAGAAAAATTTCAACAAAAGATATTGAAGATCAATTAGAAGATGTTCGAGTACAAGAAATGACAGGGTATATTTTAAATAAATATAATTAACATTTGAAAGAAATAATACATATAGATTTTTTTCATTAATTCTAATAAAAGTCTTAAAAGAATTTGTATTCATATTACATTAAACTATCGAATTTTTTATTTGAAATCTTTTATATTTCAAATAGTTAAATATTTTATTTTTAGTGGACGACGATCTGAACAACCTGATCATGTTTTATATCATATTGATAATGAACGTCCTCTTGGTTCACAATCTCCATCAACAGAAGACATGGAATCATCTTCTATTATTCTTCGTTCAATACCTAAACAACGTCGATCACTTGATTTAAATAATCTTAATTCATATAAACTTTTACAGCCACATAGTAGTGTACCACCACCAAGTATTGAGTAAGTTTAAAAAATAAATAAATAAATGTTTATTTTAAATATTGAGCACGAGAAAAAAAAATATATATTGTTTATTTTAGTTCACGTCAACCAAAAGATCCATCATCAAAATCAACAAAACGTCTTATTGAATCACAAAAAATAATTGAAACACGTCAAGCTACTAAAAAAAAATATCAAACTGCATTAAAACAACGTTCTGAAGCTTTTAAAAAAAATGCTTTAGATAAAGTAGAAAAATTAGAACTTGATGATCCTCATGTTTCACAAAGTTATGATTTATGGAATACACAAAATAAAAAAAAACGTAACAAAATATTTATCAAAAATAAATATTTTTATTAGGATAATTTTTATAGAAAAAGTTCAATCATTTATTGGTCCTGAATTAGCTTCATATTTAGATCAAGTTCATCAAACATATGATTGGAAAGTTCCAAATCATATTATTAAAAAACCATCAAAATTACCAGCTATTGATAAACCATTACCTGGTACATCATATAATCCTAGTTATGATGATCATCAAGTAAAAAAAAAAACAACGATTATATTCATATTTATTAATGAATAAATTCTTTTTTTTTTGTTTTTACTATTCAATTAGAATTTACTTCGAAAAGCTGTTGATGTTGAACTTGAAAAAGAACGTAAAGAATTAAAATTACAAAAAAATTTACCAACATTATTAACACAAAATGCAGCAGAACCGATTAAAGTATGTACTATTGATCGAAAGAGTTATTGTTGTATAAAACTCGACTACCTGATTGTGTGTAAAATTTTTGAACCTGATGAATTTGAATTATCAGTTTGATACTTATGAGGAAAATTAATTATTTTTGGTTTCTTTATTATTTATGTTTATTGGATGGAGTTCATGAAACAAATTCATATATTTTTCATAGGAAGAATTTATTTGTGAGATCTATCAAAATATATCTCTAGTTTATTAGGTCTTGTTGTTTTTTTTTGTGTTAATCATTGATCGAGCGTATCTGTAGAAGTTCTCATAAGAATTTTTTCTCAAATTATGACTATTTTATTGGTCTTTTCGACTTCTGATTAGTTATAAAAACGATAATTAAAATAGATAATCTCTTCTAGAGATATAGAATGATGAAAACGATTTGATTTTGTTTTTTCTCGTCTTTCTATAAAAATGATATTTTATTCAAAATTTTTAGATTGTGTGGCCTGTTTATGGATAAAGTTTTGAGTTCATATTCTTTCATTTTATTTTTCTACTGATAGTTGATCATAGGTAAAAAAACAACCAGTAAAATAATAAGAACTACAAAAGAATTTCTTATGAGAACGCATCTTTTTTAGGATTCGCCTAGTTTCACTGAACTTTACAGATGAACATCGTGTATATGCCTTCGCCGTCATCTCCAAAAAACTAGTTTCATGCAAAAATTGAATAGTATCATTTGACAACGAGGCTCGTTATTAAAAACATCCATACATTTCTATCACTTTTTTGTAAATATCGGCTCTTGTCAAATGGACTAGATATATGATTGTCTTACATAATTTTACCATTAGGTTTGTAATAATGGCATATCAGTTTATGTGACCAAAAATGGAAACTTCATTAACTTAAATAGATTGAATAAAACAAAATCAATTTAATGATTGAAACAAATATTTTTCATAAATATGAAGCTGTCAAATATCAAACTATTTCTAGAAAGATATGACTATTTAATTCTAATAAAATTGAAATTTACATTCTGTGAGGATTAACAGTATTATTGTGACTGTATTTAGTAAGTTGTTCAACAAAATAGCATTACTTACTTTTAAAATCGACTTTCTAATATGTTCTATCTTGAAATATAAATATAAGAAAATTTTTTTTCAATATTAGTATTAGACGAAAGGAGATATTACAAAGTTTGATATAGCATTTTATTGAAAAACTCCAATCAGATGACGTCAGACTCATTTGAAAACTTATTTATTCTATATTTCAAACAATGAGGATCAATCTATTTTGTCTATGAGTAGATACGAACCCTTTGGGGATAAAAATACATTTCTCTTAGCTTATTTCTTCTTGAATTTATCACAGATCTGCTCGAGACATCTGTAATTTAATTATTGTAACAAAAATTATTGAATATTATATTATTTTAATTTAGCAATCATGGTTAAAAGAAATGTCATCAGGTTTATTTGATAATAATATTGAACATGAACAAATATCAGAAACGAATCCATTGAGTTCTGTTAGTGTTGGTAAACCAGTTAAAGTTGAAACCAAAACTGTTCAACAACGAAATAAAGAAAAACTTCATAAGAAAAAACAAGCATTAGCTAAAGCAGCTAAAGAAAAACGTATTCAAGATAATAAATTATTTCGGTTAGTAATTAAAATAAATTATCTTATAATGTATTTTTCTCTTTTGTTTTTGTTTAGAATAAAATCTATTCGAAAAGAAATAAATACTGAAGATGTTAAACATAAACAACGACAAGAAAAACGAAAGATTGATTATGAAAATCGTGAAAAATATGGTACAAAAAAATTTGGTAGATATAAATTTGAAGAAGCTGATTTGGAGTTAAATTTATCTGATGAAATTACTGGAAATTTACGAACAATGAAAGTAAATAAATAAAAATAAAATTTCATATTTTTTTTTTTGTTTCATTGAAATTAAATTTTTTTTCTTTTTCATTAGACTGAAGGTAATTTACTTCATGATCGATTTAAATCATTACAAAAACGAAATATTATTGAAACACGTATTCGAGCAAAGTATTGAATATTTGAATATATTTTGTTTTTCTTTTTATTTATTTCAATTTTTATAGACCAACAAAAACAAAAATGAAAAAATACGAAAAACGATCCGTACGAGAAGTTGGGTATGAATTAAAAAAAAAAAGCAAAAATTTTATTTTTTTTTAATAATTTTTATTTTTCTATTTGTAGAGAAAATTATCGACCAAAATAATGATTTTTCTTTTTGTTGCTTTGTTAAATGTTTTGATTCGTTCAAAATAAAAATAGAAAAAGAAATAAATTTGTTATTTTTTATTGATATTCTTGTGATATCATATAGAAAACAACATAAAAAACTTGTGTTTCTTTTGTTTTCAGATGTATGAATTCAAAGAATTTATTGACATATAATTTTTTTAATTAACCATGGTTATTCTTTATCGCACATCTACTACGTTAATATGGTATCGTTTAACATCATGTCGATATAAACATCGTTTAAATCATCCAGGTGTTCATATTCCACATGGTGTACAATATCAAACATCATATAATCTTCCAGATGAATATGCTGATCATCCATTGTATCCACCTATTCAACCAAAATATCCACCAGGTTTTTCTTTTAGATTTTTTTCTAATGAGTTTCTTTTTACATATATATATATATAATTGCTAGGATCTTGGGGTTCGATGGATCCAAAAAAAGCTTGGATGCATTTTGAATTAGGAGAAAAACATTATAGACATTTAAAAAGTGTTAAAGAACGTTTAACAATAATGGCCTATCAAAATATGATGTGTTATTATGATAAATTAGATGTTGAACAAATCAATTCGAAATTAATATGGATGCTTACTGGTCGGCCACGTTCACCACGTAGTTTACCTTTTTATAAACATATCACACGAACACATGTAACTGATGAATTGCCAAAATTTTATGAACAAATGGATGTTGAAAGTCTTTTAAATTATGTTAAACCAATATTAATTGATCGAATATTAACAAATGAATATGCACAAAAAGATGATATACCTTTAGAAGATATGTATGATAAAGGTGATTATAAAGTACGATCAATTGTAAATGAAAAACAACTTAAAATTGATCAACAAAAAACAACAAATGTTTTAACAAATATGATTCGAACTATTGTTAATGTTCTTGCTGAACATAAACCATACTTAAGAAAAACACTTGTTAGTAAATGAAAATTTTTATTTTTTTTTTAAATGAGATTGCTTTTATTCATCATTGCAGTTTTACTAACCTATTCAGTTTACTTAATGTTTCTCTACTTTATTATTACTAAAGCTTATGCGAATCACTCCAGATGTGAATACTTAGCACACTCTGAGATAGTGAACCCATGTAATAACGTTAGCTCAATTTTATTCAGTTCTTCGACTCATCACGGAAAAGATCCATCTTACTAAACACTAGTATTTGCTTCTCAAAAGACATTCTTAATAAGAAGATAATACTTCAGAAATTTTACATTAACATAGCTGAAATAAGGTGATGTCTGAGTCATAACTTCTGTACATATGAACCAATAGAGGACGGATTCTTTGTCACATGCATGCAATCAAAATATCAGATCGATATCATAAAGCATAGTGCCGCTTCATGGGGAGTAAGTTACTTTTGTCTTGAACTTGACTGTTAGATCTAGAAAACTAAGGATTTGAATTAACAAAAACATGGATCTATATTCTATAGTTTAATGTAAAAATAGAACTTCACTATTATTTTTTCTTTATTTGTTAAAAGTTATTTCAATCATTGTTGCTTGTTCAAATTGAAATATTATTTGATTTTTTATTCTTCTTTAGATTGGATCGGATGTACCCGTTGAAGCATGGTGGAGTTTAAATCTTAATGGACAAAAATATGATCGTGCTAAATGGCATCATGATCAGAATACAACTAGTTTTCAATTTCGTGATAAAGCAGCTGTTCAAGTTAAAACTTCAAGACCATTAAGAAGTGTAAAATTGAATTATTTGATTTTTTATTTCTCTTTAAATAATCTTCTATTGTATAGATTGTTGATCCTAATAGTAGTTTATGTCAAACACCTGTCCCTATATGTTCATTTCATCCACCAGCTTTTAAAGTCTTTACAGATCGATATTTACCAATGCAAATACCAGGTAATTAAAATTAAATCAAAACTTTTCAAAATGATCATAATCTTTTGACTCACGAACGAAATATATGCAAGTTTGCAAAGAAAGAATTCTTCTATCGAATAGTCTATATCTTGTGAAGCTCTCTATTTCGTACAACTAAAAAGTTAATAGATCTTACGCCATAGAACTTGGCAAAAAATGTACTATTAGATAGAGGAAGTCATTTTTGGTCACTAGATGTACTTCTTGTTATGGTGTCGGATATCACCGTGAAACTTATAATCGCCTTTAATTTTTATTTGGCTTCTTTTTTTTTTCAAAAGGTCATTGGCATGGTGAAGGACATGATTTTAATCTTCTATCAATCTATTCAATGGATTCAATCTATCAATATGATAGTTATTTTAATGAAGATGAATTATTACCTAGTCTTATGTCTTGGATAGTTAATGCTGGTCATGCTGAACTTTTAGCACAAGCTTATTATCTTGGTTTTTCAATGTGGAGAGAACCAACATATCCTTTAATAGCTCAAACAATAATTAGTAATCGTCGTCAATGGATATTTGGTGTTTATCAATTGAATACTATAGCACATTTTAAACCACATGATGCTCAAACAACATCAAATATTTGTTGGGTATCACCATTGATGAAGTAAGAATTTCTTTCAATATTAAATTTATTTTGATATTTTATTTTTATTTTTTTCAAAATAGTCTTTATGATCGAATAGAAAATGGTGAATTAATTAATTTTAATGATGATGTTCTTCGTCAATTATTACGTTTTATATTAAATGAACCAACAATGGAACCTGATTGGAATTTAACACCATATGTTGAAGATATAACAAATTTAGATGAACGTTATAAAAAATTTATACGTAATCTTTATGAAGTTGTTAAACTTGAAAAACAAGATTGTCGTGAACATCATCGATGGGCTAAAATTAATCATGATACAACAACATTTAATCGTCGTTATGCTATGATGACAACATTATTTAAAGATATTGTTTTTGATAATTGGCCAAGGGAATGGTATGGAAGAACATTAGAAAAAATTGAACGTAAAAAGAATATGCCATTGTTTAAAGAGTATGATTTACTCATGTCTGTTACTCGTTAGATTTTTGATAATAAATTAAAGAAAAACCATGTATTGATGTTAAATCATTTTTTTATTTATTGAAAATGATGTATACATAAACAAAAAAAAAAACCTGACCTAAATAATACATGATGTTTGACATTAGGCTTATTCAAAGGAGGTGATATCTTCTGTTAAATCAAGCTATACATATTGCATTGCTTCAAACCTACGAATTAAGCTCAAGTCAATTGACAAGAAAATATTTTGCAATATGAGACATAGGAAGTCATGTTGATTTCGTTTTTATTGCGTTCTTATAATATAGATACTTTTTTCTTATCAAGTAATTAAAAGACTTAATTGGAATAAAATATTTATTGATGTCTTGAGAATGAGGATGGTCTCTGTATCTTCACTCTGACACGTAATTACACTATCGTTTGAATCTGAATAATATACTTTGAATATGTTTTAGTAATTTGAGATCAAGATTATAATTTGCATCACGTGATTTAATAATAACACTATTTTTCAAGTTATGACACGAGTAAAATATTTACAAATGCTGACATAAATGACTGAAGTGTTTTGATTTTCATTTCTTAATCCATATAATTATTATTATGATTTGTTACATGATATGACCGATAAATTATTCGTAGCGCATATACAAGCAATCATCTCAACAGCATTGTTTTTCAACTTGTATAACAAAGATAGGCATTATGAATCGCTTAAATACTACAATTCAGATAGATCTCTAGATAGTTCTGTGAGAAATTTTAAATGCTTATAGAACGTGCTGGTTCGATTTTATAGTCGAAAACATTCGGACTATTTTTATTCTGTTATACATTATCTTGGAGATCGGCTGTCTTGATTTTGATGAATAAAAGAAAATAACCAGATTCTTACTCGTTTCGATCTCTAATCCACAATCATACACAGGATCTTAATTAATTCCAATCAAAACAATCAAATTTCGATTGAATCACTTATACAAGGTGTAAAAATATTGACAAACAATATTTTATTTTACGTATTTTGAGAATAAGACTTAAATGACGCCATCTTAGAATAAAATAATTTTTAGTTTCGATTTTGCACGATAAGTGCGCAAAAAAGATCGTCCAGTTAATCATAGTAGGGTATATAATACAACGCAATCAGTGTTGCTCATATCATTTCACTTGCTTTACCAATCATCGAAAGTCTTGCTAAGGTAATTACGATTGCTTCCTCTCTTTTTATGATTAATACAAATTGCACGATTCGATTTACACTGTCACAGCAATGTCAAAAACTTTCATAATTACCTTTCTTTGACTGAAAATAGTTACTGTTCTGAAAGATCTAATCAGGGATTCATAAATTTCTCGAATTAATTGTACTGCATGAGAAAAAGTGCCGTTCGTCATAAGTAACGATTTCGATCTTTTTAGACTTTCTATCAAAAGATGCATACATCTGTCATTCTCATTGTTTTTCTGGCTTTTCTTCTCGTGGGTATTGCTGCAAGCAAAACAAAATTCGAATTTCCCACACAAGCATGTATCGGTGGTTTAATTTCTGGCAATATTTTGGGCTGTGCGATAGCTTTAGCTAATTCTGTTTGGAAAATTCATCAATGGAGCGAAGACACAATGATTAATGTGTGTGGTAATGAATGTAAGGGCAATTTAAAGGGTCGCCTCTATGGTTTGAAATGGAAATGGAATGCCAAGTTCCAGTGCTCGACGAAGGGTCAAGGAATCGTTGGGCGATTCACAGCATTAGGTCGGCAATCAGCTATGAAGGGAGCTATCAATGACTGGATCATAAAAGCAGCAAATGCTGGCGCTATTAATGCTGATGATTTCAAATGTTGAGTCGCCTGACACCATAACCAATAGTTCTCATTTAAGATTTCAAAAATAAAGATGTACAAGATTCGAAATAATATTTTGCCCGGGGGTACCGCTATAATTTCAAATAGAAGACAAAATGAATTTTATATCAAATGAAAGCTCATCAGAAATGGGGTTTATTGGTACTAAATAGTGACGGTTATGAAAACCTTTTAATGTTGAACTTAAGGAGTTTTCAGAAATTTTATACTTTTTTTGGAGTGAGAAATTAAGGTGCCAGTGATTTAAAAATGAAGTTGAATGTTTTTCTTGGATATTTTTAAATGGTTCGATAGAGCTCGTCGAGCTCTACAAAACTGTATATATTGAAAATTTTTCAAACAGAGTTCTTGAGTTAAAATTCACTGAAAACTGTCTAAAGGATGAACAAAAAAGCCCGCATTTTTTACACTTTTTATAGGGAAAAAAGTGAACTTTTTTTACAATAAATTCAGCTGTTTTCCATTAGTTTTCTTATGTAAGATGTTTCAAAATATACTCATTCGATGCAGCGTAAAAAACTGCATTGATTGAGCATATTTCGGAACGTCTGAGGGAATAAAAATAATTAAAAAAAGCTAATTTTATTGAAAACTCAAGTGTTTTTCTTCCATATAAAAGATATAAGTTTTTTTAACGTTTTTTAAGATTTTTCAAATAGTTATTTGAGTTTTTGGTCGCGAAAAACTGACTTAAAAATTTTTAATATACACAGTTTTATTGAGCTCGACGAGTTCTATCGAACCATGTAAAAATATCCAAGAAAAACATTTAACTTCATTTTTGAATCACTGGCACCTTAATTTTTCACTCCAAAAAAAGTATAAAATTTCTGAAAACTCCTTAAGTTCAACATTAAAAGGTTCTCATAACCCTAAGTATTTACTACCAATAAACCCCATTTCTGATGAGGTTTCATTTGGTATACAATCATAGCGTTAATTCTTGTAAAATATTTTTACGCATCCTGGATCATTCAAAGAAACATGTGAATGATAAAAAATGCCTAATAAGCGTAGAAAATAGTCAAAAAAGGGAAAGAAAATGAAACTCGACTAAGGAGCAAAAAGCCGGCGGAAGTTAAAGACGCTAAGTAAAGCTATTCACAATTTTTCGATACATAAAGACAGTGAAATGATATACAACTAGAAATACTAAAAGACGGAAACTAACTAAATGAGTTCAACGAATACCAAACAAGAAAAGAAAAATAGATTTCAAATCTCAACTAGCTACAAAATTCTAATGTTAGCAAAGCTTAGCATGATTGAAGGATAGAAGAAATAAAGATGTATAGCAAGAATAAAACAAATAAAAGGTCTAGTCTATAACTTTAGGAGTCAAATAGTAAAATAACGAGAGAGGATAGAAAATGAACATAGATGAAGGCATGCAGCTAATAAGAGAAACAAGAATAAAGATCTAGCCTAACAAAATAAGTATCAACGCGGGACGCTTAACAAAGCAACAATATAATGAAAAAACATGCAGCCGCTACCTCGATACTTTATGAACTTAACAAACCACGTGCATAACCTTGAAAACAGTAAGAGAAACTAAACGTTAGAACGGACAAAACATGCATGAAAATTTAATAGTTAACAGATCCATCACATTCTAATCAACCCAATTGAAAATAAATGTAAAACAATAAGAAAATAAACGCCACCAATTATAGAAATAATTGAAAAATTAACTGTAGTACATTTATTAGACGAAACAAAAGATTTCTTAATGAAAAACACAAATAGATGGAATACGCCAAACAAAGTAATTAGATAGATTAGAAAACTGAATTGCAAGATCTTGAGGCCGTGGGCTTATGTCTAGTATTCCAATACACACCCACATGCCATTGTCACTAGCAATTAGATTAATCGATAAGAAAACTTTTCATTTATCTTAATCTATTGCAGTATAAGTTGATTTTATTCTTATCTGTAGTGAGAAATAACAATAATCAGATTATAAGCAATGCACCGCTAGTGATAATTCTAAATTACCTACCATCAAAGAATTAAAACCGAAATTTCAATTAACTATGATCGAAATCGATCGAAAAACTTAATTGTTTTTCAGTTCTTTGGGGGGAAAATCTATTTCAAACAAAGTTTTCTTCATCAATATTTTTTGTAGAATTATGTCTTATATTCTCTGTATGCATAATAGACTAAAGCTTCTTTTTACAATACGATAGTGGAGTCGAAACATTGCTTTACGAGAAGCAAGTCAATTCGACATAGGAAAGAGGTTATTTGTTTGAGCATCCTACTCGCCACGAATAATGACATAGCAAGATTCACACCCATTCTCAAGATTTATTTCGATAAAAAGGATCAAAAACGTAGAATATTAGAAAACATTATGACTTAGAGCTTGTGCAATAACAAATCGTCAACAGAAGTTAGTTATTGGTTGAGCTGTTCCACTTTCAATAAGCCAGCTGATGTCATCTTTGTCACATAATCTTGTATAGCATGTTCAATAGCACCATTCCTGCTTTTCCATTGCGTACTTGTACCCATGACGCTTGTACTTAATGATGGACACCAGAATTTACCACTCCATTTCCATTGCCAACGATGAAAACCACCTTTGAATTGTGAATGACAAGTTGTGCCGAAAGCTGATTTGGTGTCAACATCACTCCATGAATTGTACTTTGTGTAAACGAACCTGCCTACAGATATACCACATAGACCCCAATTTGCAGATAAGCAAGGTGTTAAATCCACATTTGCACCTTCAGCTTGAAAATTGAAACTCGCACTCAAAATCAAAACAGTAAAGAGAAATCCGAAAACTTTCATTATAACGACTTCTAATAGACAGAATGCTGGTCTTCGTAGAGCTTGGTTTTATTTCTGTTTCTTCCAACTAGTACTCATACACTACATATTATTTCACACAATATATATACACGAACAGCAAAGGTCATAATCGTGTGCAATCAAATATTACTGAGTCATAACCTTAAGATAAAGTTGAAATCCAATCCTAGTAAAAAATATGCATAGAAAAGAAAGGAAGTAAATGGCTTCATTAGATGATTGAATGTTATCTATGTTATTGATTGGCATACATACAGCCCAAACCGTTTGGAAGTTTCCTTTCGATTTTGCGTGTGAGTGTGGGTGCCAGTGAAGATAGCAGTAACATCCACATATGCACCCACACCCACACCATTAGATTACTAAATATAACATGATGCAAAAATAACTTCATGCTATGTATGTTCAATTTTTTACTTGAAGTTGATTGTATAATGACATCGTGACATAAAACAACTTATCAAAACCTCACACGAGTTTCTTATCAGATTTGGTTATATCTTCGATCATCGGACAGCATGAACGCTATAATTCGATATTGATTTTTCTATAGTTGATCTGTTAACAAGCAGAATATAAGATAGTAAAGTTTTCTCATTATTTTATAACGATATGTTCGCATTCTAACTTCATATCTTTGCAAATTTGTGGGGTGGATGTGGGTATGGCTATGGTTGTAGGGAAGTTCTGCACCCACACGCCACACGCCACACTCTTTTTGATAACCCTAACTATTTAGTACCAATAAATCCCATTTTTGATGAGCTTTCATTTGATATAAAATTCATTTTTTCTTCTATTTGAAATTATAGCGGTACCCCACGGGGAAAATATTATTTCGAATCCTGTGCATATGTTTATATCACTATATGAAGATTTTATTTCTCCTTGAGATTGAGACGCATCGAGCATCTCTTTTTTTTTCTTCCATGATGTTCATTCAAAATCGACTAAATAAAATGCTTCGTTCGTATTTCTTTGAACGAGAACAATTGACTGTATGATTTAGACTTGATACGAACTGTTGTTTGTACATATTCTCAGGAAAAATTGGCAGATTCAGTCGATTGTTAAGTAGAATAAATTGAGAAATATTCAACGCGTAACATCGACTTCGAAAGTTAGAGAAAAGTTCTGAGCACAATTGATTGGGTGCCAATGGTATCGATCGGCTATGTTAGGTCTGATTTTTCCATTAATATAAAAACAAATCAGTTCTTAAATGGGCAAGAAGCTATTGCTGTAGGTTTTAACTTTGTCAGCTGACATTGATCTGTACTTGCAGACAAGAACAAAACAACGGAATTCTAAAGTGAGCGTCACATATGAAATAAGATGATAGGCAAAGTAGAGATGTGCCTCGAATTTCAGTTCACTATGTATTGGCTCTCAATGCACACTTCATATCGTTTTGTGCGAATATAAATGGTGACATTAGTCTCTATGACTATGATAAACAATAATAGTTCTGTTGAGCTTGCTTTAGAATGTGAATTGGTGTCTTTTTATTTTTTACGCACGTCGCTTAGAAATACAAGATAAATACGAAAAGCTTCACTTTCAGCATCCTAAATTGTGAAAACTTTTTTTGTTAAATGGCTTATTATTTAGTCGCGATTGGGACATAGTAAAGATAGTTTCATAAAATATCTAAAGACTCTTCGAGAATAATTATTTTCTTTCTATGGAATTATAAATATAAATAAACTGGTTTAAGGAAAAGTCTTATACTTATACAAGATATTTCATACTAAGTCTAAATAATATTTTATCGTTCCCATTTCATTTGGATATGCCCTTTTATATGTATAATAAAGCATCAAAAGAAGTTTCTTGTACTTAAGAGTCTGATTAGAAAGATTTTTTGTCTTTTTGTTCTGAAAATTATTCCTTCGAAAACACATCTATTTTCACAGCTCTTTATAGATTCAAAAACAATTTAGCACATATCTACGATATTATATGCTATTTACGCATTGAATGCTGCAAAGTAATTAATCGAAAGAAAAAACAAAATTTCTATAGTATAAGAGAATCTAATTACGAAAATTATTTAATGAGCAGCAATATTTTTATTCAGACATTCTATTATCAAATATTTTACACTATTTTGATCATTCCATCGAAAAGCTGATTGAAAAAACAGTGACAAAAAAAAAATTTCCTCGTATTATAAATTGATTGCTGATTAGATAGCACAATAAAATTTGATTAGTCAAAGATAATTTGAAATAAAAAGATTATAGAAATTTTGTTATAATTTAAATTTTCATGAAATTTGATAGCGTACGAAATCAACATCTGATTTTTCACTTCAAAGTGTTTCATTTCTTGAACTTATCATTGTTGTTCACACTTTACAGCAACACTTCTTTCGACAGGAAAATATCTTTTAAACCAATTTTAGAAATATTTTTCTAAGGTTTTTCTGTTTAATGTTTCTAAAGTTGAATGGAAAAAGAAATATCAATAGTTCTAAATAACACGTCTTCAACTAAGATTAGATGTGTTCGAAACCAAGATTTAATGATCTTAATTTCAGTAACTCCATTTCTAATTATCTCGATCTAGATAAAACTATGCAAGAATTTAATTGTATCACATTTAAAACAATTCTTGAATATTCGTTTTGTGGATTTATTTAGTTGAGATTAGAACCTTTTTGGATCATGTCTCTTGAATTATGTTCTGATTGATGATTTATAAGATAATTTACTTGAAACCATGAAATTTTAAACTATAATCTATCAAGAGTTATTTAGTACATATAAACTTAAACAGCTTAAATAGAAGATGTTCTGTCATTATTTTAAGCATCATTGTTTTCAATACAGAACAAACTTACGAAATAGATGAATTTCATTATAATTTTAGATCTTTTGATTTCTATTAGATTTACGGTTATATGGTTTTACAATTCTATAAAGGTTTTATAGATAAGCACACTGATCATTTAGAACCTATTCAGAATTATTTTTTCCTTTCAAACTTTTGAAACATTTTTTTTTTATCATTATCATTAATCGAAACAAGTCGTATTATCATAAATAGCTCTTAAGCTGATTTTTCACAACTAATTTCTAAAAAATGTTTTTATTTTATAAATGAGTATCAAAGGCGGTAGAAGAAAAAAATTAACAATTATATATGACTATTCTTTATGCATCATTCATCGATTAGATCAGCAGTAAGAACAGCTGAAACGAACAAGTTCAAAGCACAGCTTGTCTTCCGGATATCAATGCAACTCATTCTCTCATTTCTTTTTTATTTTTTTGCATTAATGTCGGTCATTCGCACCTTTTTCTTTTCCTTCTCTTTCTGGAAATGCATGTATATATATAAAGCAAACAATTCGATCATTGCTTCAATAGAATAATAATCATGGAAAATATGACAAAAGAAATTTCTGAGCTTCTTCAACAAATTCGACATGTCGAAAATGAACATAATCAATTAGTTGACGAATATTTTAAAATGAGTAGGTAGAAAATTTTAAATTATTTTCTTTTGTTTTTTCGTTTTTTATCACATTTATGTTAAAGTGAAAAAATCTGCGAGATTTAATTATAATTTCATTGTTTTGTTTTTTAGAAGATAATATGAAGCAAGCTTTAACAGATTTAAACAATGATCCATCATCAAATAATTTAAATATGTATAATTATTATGTAACTACATGTGAAACAATAATGAAAAATATTCGTTTAAAACGGTAAGAATTTATTTTATTTCATAATACACAAAAAAAACAAAACAAATGAATATATTTGTATTTATTTAGATTATCATTAACAAATTTAATATGTACTTTACACGAACATGGAATTTATTTAGATGATGAAAATGAAAGTGATAATGATATAAATAGTAGTACAGATGAAGGTATTGATGAACATTCATTAAGTTTCATTGATCATAGTTCGAAATTATCGAGTCTTAATAACAGTGAAGATAATAATAATAATGATGGAATATTTGATGATAATCTTCTTTGATTTATTTCGAAAAAAGAATTCTTTTGTTAATTTTGTGATCAATAAGCAATTGTTATTTTGTTGAAATAAAATTTTGAATGTGTCAAGTGTTTGTATGTTTGTTTTATGCGATAATTTTCCAATAGATAGGATATTAATGCATAAGAAGGAAAAATAACAAAAATTTTGAATTGATTTGTTAAATGCAGATTTTTTTCATTATTCTTATTTGAAAATTTTTAAAAATTGTCTTTGGTTTTGATCTTTTTTTCTATTCAGATCTTGAAAATAATGAATCAAATTTGAGTATATGTGTATATCTGAGTGCATGTGTATAATTTACTGTTGGTTGATTATTTCGAAGAAAAGAAATAAACAAATGCGTAAATATTGCGACAACCAATCCATAGACAGAATAAAAATTCCAACAAATTTTTCGAACGAAATATAACACCAAGTAACAATGTATGGGTGTGTCGGGAGTGTGAGTATGGCTGTCGAGAAGATCTGATCAACAGACACACCTTCATATGTGATATTCCAGCGGTTTTGAAACCTGCTGAGCTCAGTTATTTGTAACATTCATCAAAAAGTTGAACAGTCATCTCTGTTTGTTATTTTTTCATATCTTTATTGAAATCTTTTTGGTTCTGAGAATAGGATGATTCCCGTAATACCTGAGCATTTGTTCATTTCTCTTCTTGGAAATAATCAACAGACAGTGAATCGTGTCAACCATTTATACAATGACATGAGTGAAGATATTATTATATTGAGACAACGAATTGTTTTCGAACTCATTACAAGAACAAAATTAGCAAGTTTCGACTGAAAATCCCTCAAAAATACTGAACTGCTGTGCATAGTATTGTGTGATTCTATTCTTCGAAAGAATAAGATTTCACAATATTAGTGCAATTAAGAACATTTCTGTAGTGTTCCTGTTCATTCGTTTCGATACAGATTGAAACAAACACAACTTTTTTCAATAAGACAGAAAATTTTCAAGCGAAGCTGATAATGAATAACTAGTCCATAGTTTACTAATGGTATTATTGAATGAAAAACTAATCTCATCGGCTAGTGAAGCTGATAATATTCTATTTGATATTAACTTGTTATATAGCTTTTGATTAACATTTTCGATATAATTCAATCAACAATGGTGACAATATCGATGTGCGATATTTAATTATTCTAACTATTTGTTTCGATTACATCCTTTACAAAAAAAAAAGAAGATTCTAATAATAAATGTAGTTGCCAACGTGTTTGGGTCGGATGTTTTTTTTTTGTAGAAGACGTATGTTTCATTTTCGTCTGGGATGCATATGAGTGTGCTTAAATTAGTTGAAAAAAGACCGACCTATCTCTTGACGAGAAACAAGTTGAACGAGCTGTTTTCAACTTTTGCTTATCAGCAATTGACTTAGATCGAAAATGAAATAATACTATTATAATAATACGTGTGCTTGAATTAAAATGGTTTTAAAACATGCAGAGTGAATTTTGTGGACGCGTTTAGTGTTTTTATTGGAATGTTAAAACATTAATCAGGGCTCTATATTACATATCGAAAGCATATAAAACAATTAAAAGTTGAAAATATGAAATAAAAAACTAATAATAAATCAAAAAAAGAATAAAAATAATTGAGAAAATGGAAATAGAAAATTGAAGACTGGTCTTTGGGATAGGAAGACAATTGTCTTTAATCATATTGAAAGACCATAATGAAAAACAGACATGCATACACTTATGTATAGATTTGTTGAATTAGAGGAGCAAGCCATATCTTTTATCATATTACATTAATTTGATGAGAAAACAATGTATTTCTACTTCATTTTAAAATAACTATTTGATTTCTATATGTAAATTTTAAAACTAAGATAAATCTTCAAAAATTTTTTTGATCTTTAAGATTTAATCTAGGGATGTGCAGTGTCCATTTACTGATCACCGACTGCACCGACACAGTGACTACTGGAGTACTGACTACACTGTCATCGGTGTTACTGATACTGACGTCACTGATAAGACTAACAAACTCACATCAGAGTTCATTGAAGTACTGAGGATCACTGCAAACATTGAGGTTCAGAACATTGACTACATCGTCAGCTTTCGATTGACTAAAATTCTTTTACGGAATACCATGACATTTCGTGAATGAAAAATAGGGATACAACAGAAGTTTGCATTGGATAAGACCATAACACCTTAATACTTTCTCAAATGTTTGTTTTAGAGTTGATTATATTCAAAATAATATTTTGTAACGCATGAGAAAGTTATCAATTCTACTACCATGTACTGTACGTTATATTTTTTCTATTATTTTTAATTCTTTGGTTTTTCGTGTTTTTTGTTCATTTTTCCATTTCGCCTCTGATCATAATTCTTATTAATGTTGTCATTTATTTTAACTTTTACTTGCGTAATTGTACGGTGGACCTGAATATATTCGATATCCTCTTTTGATCTTCTCGTTCAGTACGTTTAATTATACATTGAATGAGAGCAAAGAAAGCATCGGACTCCTTTATCTTTCTGCTTCGATCGTCTATTCCGATATATTATATGACACAGGCAAACAAGAGAAGAGAATACCGAACGCCTTTTTCTCCTACTTCGTTAGAAAGAACTATCTCTCAGCTTTGAATAAAAGCTATTATTATTCGTAAGGTTGCATAGATTTGTACACGAAGATAAGATTGTAACGCACTTTATATGGCCCATAGGTTGTTCTTATTTTGCGTAGTAGATCGTAAGTTATGAAAACCGTAGGTTTCAAACATGCTATGAGTTTGTCGTCACAGAATATATTCTGCATTCATATTCTAGTGGATAGAAACCTCAAGAAAATACGTTTTTAAAATTAATTCATGTATTCTTTGCAAAATACCGTTTCTTTTAAGAGATTGATTTAATATTTCAACGTATTATTTTCAATATTAATCCGTTCTTGGCAGGTAGAAAAATTCTATATTACATGTCAAAGTCATTAAAGAAAATGAATATATGGTTGATGGTCTCTAAATTGGCAGACGCCAATCGTACATTGCGAGTAAAATAAGAAACGATGTCATTCATCGAAGTTGCTTGAATTATTTAAAAATTTAGATTGTCCAAGTTTATGATATCATTGGCAAGGATAGGATGTGGATGCAAGGTGGTTGCAGATTTTGAGTCTTCTTTTTATCTGAATGCACACTCACACCTGCATTCAGCCAGCTCTCGAAAAAGAACTATTTCTTTGGCACACTTCTCAAAAAAAAGAATTGTTTCTTTACTACAGTGTCGAAAAGAAACTGTTCACTTATCAGAATTGTTGCAAAAAACTGTCCTTTCGATACAGTTCCCAAAAAATAACTATTCATTTAGTATAATTTTTGAAAAAGAACTGTTCACTGGATCCAGTTCTCGAAAAAGAATCAGTTCATTCATTTTAAAGCTGTCGCAGATCTATCCTAGAGACATGTTTGATTTTGTGCTTCTTTTCACAATGGATTATGACAGCTTAAGAATGCATCTCGAAGCAATTCGTAACTTGATGATTTATTCGAGGGCAATGTTTATCAGTACTGAACATGACTATTTGGTTGTGAATCTTTTGGTGTGATCTATCTACTATCAGTGTCTTATCGATGCTGATGTCCAGTTGTGTTAAAGCTTTCGTAGTAGCCTCTGGCATAAATTCAGAAACATTTTTATTATCTTCTTTTTGTATTTTTGTTCTCTCTTCTTATGTTTCTGCACAGGTGAGCCACTTCATTTATGGCAAAATAAAAAAGATTTATTAAAAAGCAAATTTCAACTCTACACTAATTTTTTTTTGTACTGTATTAGATGTGTTCCCATTTCGTTTCTAGTTTTTCATTAAAGTAAAAAAAAAAGCAATTCCTTAGAAGCCTTGCAAACCATCATGAATGATAATTCAGAGTAAGTAGTCGAATAGAATAGCTGAAGACATACGACTTGTTTAAATATTTGCAGCTGTTATTAATAAGTTTTTTGACTAACATCTACAGTTATATCAAAAACTGTTCAGAAACACAAAACATATTTAATTAACGATAAATCACTTAATGTATTGTAGAAAGTTGTTTACTCGAATGCTTACTTTCGAAAAAAAGGAAGTAAATGTTTTTAAATTTGTGGCATGCTCTTGTGTGGATGACTCCTATTGCAGAAAAGTCAAAATAGAAACAAAATTCTCATTCTGTTCTTTTCATTTGTCAGCGTTACTCCTCGTGTCTTGTCCATAAGTTTTATTATAATATGTCAATATCGATAGAACATTCACTAAAATTAATTGCTTGTTGACAACTACTTACACAGTTTTTTTTCGCTCCTCTTTTTTTGTTACATTTTCAAAATCAATAAGCTTCGTGTAAAGAGCTGTGAAAAAATGTTCGTCTTGCTTATCATTATTGTTACGTATTCATGATCAACGTCTACGAGATGTTCGCAACACACACATGGTATACATTCGAAAGACATGACGCAATTTGTTCTTTTATTTTGTTGTACTATTGAGATTTCAATGTCCTAATCGAGTGTACAATGCATGGAAAGGTCCATTTCCAATGAATTTGAATCAGTTTCGAAATCATTTGAAATATAACTTTGATCTAATCGGTTATAAATTATTTTTGTCATCTCGTTAGTTTCTCTTTCAATCTGAGTATTTTCAAATTGAATTGGGTAGAAATGCAATTGATCAAAGCCTTAAAAATACATTTCGAGTATTTTATGGGCTTTATTTATATGGAAAATTGTTGTATACATTCAACTGTGTTGTAGAACCAACTATCGACACAGCACACATGACATTATATATAAAACTTGCTTCATACGAACAGTCTCACTCTCAAATACGTTACCCATATCGTTTTCAATCGGCTAACATCATACATTACAGTATATTGTTGAGCAACTGACTATTTCGTCACAAGAATTTTTATATTGACCCGAAATATCGATTTATATAGAAAAAAAATTAAACGTTTTTATAATGAAAATCCAAAAGTATTCAACAAGAAAGTAATCACAAAATCTAGTATTGTAATCGGATATCTTTATCACCCTACAGGTGAGTATGTTTTTCCTGAATATTCATATGAATAATATCAATTTAATAAGCAGGTTCGATCATTCGATGCTTCGTGTTCTTATACTGCTTATATATCCTATGTTCTCATTGGTATCTTCATATGTCTTCTAATCAAACATGTTATACATCTCGTTCGAATCGTTATTTCTCTTATCTGTTCACCAACACTTGTCCTGCATTCTTTCTTCTATCCAAGAACAAATGAGGAAATCAAAGATTGTGTCTTTAGAACATTTGGATTATGTTTTGTTGAACACAAATTACGTGAATAATCATTATGATCGTCTTTTTACAGTGTACCACAAATATCTTATCATGTTGATGATAGATTTAAACGAAAGCAATGAAGAAAATCTTCAAAAATTTATTGTAGATACCATTTTATTATTATTCCTATCGATTTAATTAATAATGTCACATCGGATTGCCTTGTAATTGAAAATAGCTATTATTATTATTATCGATACATTTGTTTTCCTACATTTAAATACAGTACTCACTTCAATCCAGCCCAATGACTACATCAATGATTGATGACTCGTAGTGACCAATATCGATACAAGTATGTTCAAGCTTTTGCTTCAATTTTGAAGACGAAAAGGTTTTGAATTTGTGTATCTTTTTTAGTTGGAATCGACATGAACGATTACGTCATGAAGAAAAACAACGATATCTTCTAGCACATTTCATTGAGGAAGAAACTCAATTTCAATAGCGTGAGTACGAAAATGATATCAACCAAATATTGCAACGCATAGCAACAGCATCGCCTTGTTCTATTGCACGATTTCGTTTGACTGATGGTCAAATAGTCAATAATAATCTACCAGATACAATGTGCAGCATTTGTCTCGATTTACAATTAAATCAACGCTTTTCTCAATAGCCTTGCAACACTAAACACACATTTCATTTCGATTGTATGTTAAATGTCTTGCGAGCAGGACATACGTGTCCATTATGTCGACATTCGGTTGAAGCAGCCGCTTCACCTAGTGTAGAAGCTGTTCTCCGCCTCATCCTAGAGAATATGATAACTAATGTATTTGCTTGATTAATAACATACTGCTCATCAATTTTTCTCTTCATCCATCAACACTTTTCGTGAAACAATATGTTCAATATGTTAAGGATGCGGGTGTGAGCGTTGAATGTGGGCGTGAAGTGGAATAGATGCCGTTGTTGATGGGGTCCGGATGGTGTGAATATGGAAATTAACCTCTCTAAACCTACACTCACGGCCATACCCTACTTGTTTAGATAATACAGACTACTATATAAACTACGTTAGTCACATAAAATTGATGTTCAAAGCAAATTTTTTAGACGTAAATATTTGTTTGCTATACTATTTACTAGAGTATCAGAATGATCGTACTAAGCCCAATGACAATCTAACAGATAGAGAGAGAAACTTTCAACCTTGATAAAACGACAACAAATACAATAGTAATTGTAATATTTTTTTCGTCAATACCAAGAGAACGCGAACAATCAAAATGCAATGGGCTAGGTTACAAGTGCCAGTTGAGTTTGTAAAATGTTACTTTAGATTAGATAAGAACAAATAAGGTATTAATTTGAATGTGTTTTTATATGTGTATTATATCTAGCTATAACGAAACGTCACTTCTATTTCAAATCATCAAACATGATTCGATTTTTATCCAGTACTATTCTCTATTTAATCCTGCTGCATAACCATATACGTTTGTTGAAAATTTTAGTTGTATTTTTTAAAATTATTTCTCTTATTTAGGTTTAATATGCGCTCTAGAAGAATCCGATACAAAAATGAACGACTCATTACTGATGGAAGTACGTGATATGCAAGCAGAATTGACCATCATACGACAAGATATTCATGCTCATCCAGAAATGACCATGGAAGAACAACGCACATCAGCTCTGGTCGCTTCTAAACTTAAAGAATGGGGTCTAACAGTTACTGAAGGTGTCGGTCGATTCGGTGTTGTTGGAACATTGACGAGTATAAAACCAGATAATCGTTCTATTGGTCTTCGTGCCGACATGGACGCTCTACAACTTATCGAAAAAAACAACGTATCATATGTTTCGACAAAACTTGGTACAATGCACGCCTGTGGTCATGATGGACATACGGCTATGCTGCTTGGTGCTGCAAAGTATTTATCTGAACATCGCGATTCATTCTGTGGAACTGTTCAATTTATCTTTCAACCAGGTGAAGAAAGACTCCAAGGCGCCATAGCCATGATAAATGATAGTCTATTCGAACGATTTCCCGTTGATGCTATCTATGGATTACACAATCTTCCAGAACAGTTAGGAACATTTTCTATACGATCAGGTCCTGTGATGGCAGCATCCGATCGTTGGTATGTAACGTTTCGAGGCACTGGAGGTCATGGTGGAGCAGGTGCACATCTTGCAACCGATGTTACAGTAGTACAAGCACAATTCATCATGGCACTACAAACTATTGTTAGTCGTAATGTCAATGCGATCGATTCAGCAGTGATCAGTGTTGGTGCTATTGAGGGTGGCTCTTTCGTGTCAGCTAATGTCATGCCATCTGAAATACGTATTGCAGGTACTGCACGAAGTTTGACTACATCGGTTCGTGATCTTATTGAACGACGTATTAATGAATTAGCAAATCATCTAGCTAACGCCTTTGGTTGTACGGGTCATGTGGAATATAGACGAGGAGGAATTCCCCTTGTTAATCATGATGAACAAACAAAACGAGCAATTAAAGCTGCTGAAGCAGTCGTCGGTTCAACAAACGTCACCAAGAACAGAGATCCTTTGATGGGTGCTGAAGATTTTGCTTTCATGCTTTTGAAACGACCTGGTGCTTTTATCTTCATGGGCATCAATGATGAAACAGTATCCAATAAGTTGCATTCACCTGATTATAATTTTAATGATGATGCAATTCCATTTGGTGTTGCCTATTGGATAAGTCTTGTTCAGCAAGAACTCAACGATTGACTCTATCGTTCATTTTTTCCTTCATCAAATCATAAAATAAAAAAAATTCAGTAGTTTCTGTTACATATTCAAGTTGAATGTTGGAGTATCAAGGTGGGAATAATTGAGGTCTCATGTGTAGATGTCGATTTCTTCTTAACCCACATTCTTACTGCTCTTTTTTCTTTTAATTGAGTCGTGCCGTTGTTTTCACAAGCTAAAAGAACATCACGATTATTATATCAATCGATCAAAACAAAATGCACACCATTTTGTTTTAAACTTTCCTCTTATGAGTGGATTCATCAGTTTATGTACGAGGTCGGTCTGAGTAATCGGTATTCTTTATCTGAACGAAAGAGTGAATATTGAAGATAAAATATAAAGAAAATTATTTTCAAAGCACATAATTGATATACGAATATCATTTGTTGAAACAATGACTAAACTTGTGAATGCCATTGATTTATTAAATAGTTAATATTTTATAGAAGCGTACGAGAGTAGGCATAATATAATTCTAGAATCATAAGTTGGGAGAACAAAGATATTTTTATTATAAAACATCAAAGAAAGATTTTATTTCGTCTTCATTTTTACGATAAGGAAAAATGTTAACACATCAATCACGCATTATTAAAAAGTATCTTGTTGCACTGGAATACATTGAATATCGTTGTAATTCAGTGATGGCTTCTCGGAGATCAGAGCTCAGACGAAAGTATTGTACTTTGAAACAATATCATTTTTACTTACTTGAAGAATATTTATTGTTCTTTGAAAATTTCACAATTATTTATAATCCTAAAGTGAAAAATAAATTTAATATCTTCATGATAACTTAGAGATAAACTGATACATCCTCTATTGATAATTTAAAGTTGAGTCGCATAATAGACTATAAATAATTGCGAAATCTTCAAAGAAACAGAAAAGTGCTTCAAATGTGCAAAAAAAGACATTGTTTCCCAGTACAAGCAAAGTGGGTGTGTGAGTATGGTTCTCCTTTCAATCGCATCCACTTACTGTGATAGTTGAACATAGAAGGCATTAAATTAGTTCAGGGAATCGATTTCAATAACTATCGACCTCTGTTCTTTCCATTTTCATTTACACTAAGAGAGAATAGCAAATTCTTGCTGTGTTACGGATAGAAAGTTTTAATACTTACGTATTCATATTATTATATATGCAATAATGATTTCTTCTACATTAGCATCAGAAAATTATGTTTGAAAAATATTTTTATGAACAAGGAAATCAGCATATTAATTTGCTTCTCTTATCAGAGCTCGAAAAAACGCGCTTTTGATTCTACTGTAAGGAATAAATATGCTAAAAAATCTTTTGGCTTTTTTATTTGCGACAGAGCTCAACAAAACTTCTTAAGAATTCGAAGATAAATAAACATAAATAAAGTGAAAGGTTGTCGTTGTAACTCCTTTAGGATCAAAATGTATAGTTCAAATGTGTGATTTAGCCTCATTATACGAATACAAAAGACATCAAGCGAAAAATTTCTAATAAACTAAACCTATTCTTTGCTTAGAACGAAGAGGATGGCAAGTGTGCAAACGAATGGGTTCAAATACAGAACGATTCCAAGCGAAAACTCATTTTTATGGGTTCCAGAGGGCGAGAAAAATTGTTGTAGTTATTTCGAGGATCTAAGTACGTCATCATGAAGGCAAGATGCAAGCATTTCATATGAATGATACTAGACTTGACATTTCAATGGAGAATGAACGAGGATGTCGAGTCATTCCTGAACTTTACTTAACTAGGCTAAACTTTTATATTTTTCTACTAGGCTGAAAAAACCCCACATGGTGACGGTACACTCAGGCGGTTGCCTTGAGCTTCTGACAGAAAGATGCGTTTTGTTAATGAGTGGGGTGTGAAGTGTTTACAGTAATGAAATGAATTATATGAGGAAATCGTACGATATCTTTCAATGTTTTCTGAAATCGTCTTCCAGTATGTTTAGAATCATTATAACTATATTAATTAGTCATGCACAATATGGAAAAATCAATAGAAAAATTTTCCTACATGAACATAAATAAATTGAAAACAGTCCGATGTGAGAGCATGAGTGTGATTGTGAATGTTGATGAAGAATACCTGCATCCACATCACTAAACTCCATGAAGGCATATTCTTGTTGGCTGAAAATTTCAGAATATTCGAAAAGACGCATTTACCTTATCTGTAAGAAAAATTTTGAATCGAAATTTGATTACTTGGTTTTCGTGACTTACCCACAAATTAATCGAAAATCTCGTAAATAGGCCATAAATTTATATGAATTGACATGTAAATGTCAGTTGAAATAGTTTTCCTGTTGGTTCAACGGAAATGTTTCCGTAGAACGTATCGTCATCGCAGTAAGTTCACTCACTTTGATGTGTTGAATATTGTTCATTGCATTTTACTCTGCACCTTTCTCTAAAAATAAATTTGATGAATTTTTCGCAAATAATTTCAAAGTGTTTCTTCTGAAAACAAGAACTATATCGAAGTGTTCAAAAGAAAAAAACTGTTAATCAAAATACTATCAGGTTCATCAATTTAGGCTGTAGGTGCGAATAATGATAAAGAGAAGATATAAAAACACTTACATCCATATCCACCAAAATTAGAAATAGTAATAATCATATTATTTCCGCTCAGGATAGACGGGAAAGTCAAACATTTATGAGGATTAAGTAGCTCATTGCAGTCTATCATTTGAGCATATGTTCGATCAAAAACTGTCGGACACTTGTGGCCGTTCTCTCATGAGAAGAAAAATATCTTTCACAAAAATTTTTCCGAGAGACCATTTATGCATGCAGATGCAGCCACATACAGAACTCTATATTACGATAAAACTCACATCAACACCCCATTCTGCATATGTTATTAGATTGATATTCTCCAAAAAATTTTAAGATGCGCGCATAGAACATTAGGTGGGTGATGAGGGTGTGAGTGGATACGAGTCTGAATAAAGTGCAAATGAATATTCTTACTTACAAGCACACCTATCTACACCTCACTCCATTATATGTTGATGCGTATGATCAAAGATATGGAACAAGAGAAAATCTAGTAACGTTCTAATTGAAAAGATTCGCATGTAAACGCTAAACGCAAAATAGATGCGTTCAAACGAAATTTCAAAAACACATTCAGGTGCGTTTTTATGTAAAAACGATTTTGGTGAGTAATAAAATTAAGAAGATAGTCCACAATAGAAAATCAACACTAATAAATACAATACAATAATCTAAAATGATTGAAGAGATGTATAATAAATTATTTGAACTACCATTGTTATTTTCTTTCTCAGCATCTTTATGAATGATTCAGCTTTTATTTACAACATCTCGATAATTTCAATAAAACAAGTGCATAATCAAATCATCTTATTACCGATCCAAAACGATAGTCTTGTATCATAATACTTATGACGTTGGTCGGAAAAATCGACGAAGGGCTCGTGATGTATATCAAAGACTATATTTAACTTTCGTGCTGCATTTTCAAACGAAGAGAATTTTCTTGCAAGATTTTGTTCATTCCTCACGATTACTCTTGCACTCGATAACTTTGGTAAATGATTTATGAACAACGGCAAGTTGTTTGGAGAGTTGATTTTACATTCCAAATATTCAATATTGGAAAATATTTCACAAAACTGTTGTGTTATTCGAGGATCCAGGGCAATATAGCCACAGTAATCGGTTACAAATATCTTTTTCATCATTTTGTTTAGATACTTACATAATTCACCATCGTTGAAAAACCGCATTACAACTTTTGAAATAAAAGTCATTGATAATAATTGTGGTGCTTCTTTTAGAATTTCTAATAACACTGATGAATTTTCCATTTCATGTACGTGTTCAATATTTAAATGATTTAGATTAGATAAAGTAACATTTGTTTTCAAAAATTTAATATGCTCATTGGTAAGAATATTATGTTCAAATATCTCCGAAGAAACTAATTTTAATGATGTGACATTTGGAAAGTAATATTGACATTCTTCTGTAAGCACTTCCCAATTTAATGTTAAGTTTGTTACATTATCGAAGGTATGGACATGAATGTCATGACTCAAATATTGATTTCTCTGCCATTGCTCTGAACTGTTCTCTATTTCTGTTGTTTTTCTTTTCTTCGGTTCCATATGTATTGTTCTGTAGCTCTGTGTGTTTCTGCGTGCGATCTGCATATGTGCACTGGCCATTTTGTACCATCTCTTGTATTGATATACTAGATCAATCGTTGTTTTGTTCTCTGGTTGATCACTCAAGAATTTTCTTTTTTTCTTGGGCCAGAAACGATCATTAGAGTCATCACTATTGTTTATGGTATTATTACAATATCTAGTAGTATTTGGCATTAGTTTAAACGTATTTGATATGTAAGGTATTGTATAGATGAATGCTAAATTCTCGTCTCTTATATATTCAGTAAAACAATTAAGTTGTTTTTGCCAAAAATCAGTCTGAAACCGATCAAACTTTTTAAGAATGATATCGTTTTTAACGCGCCAATAAGGACATCCAAATTTGAACTTGAAAATAATTAAGTATGATAATGAAACTGTTATCAAATGTTGCCATCGATCAGCATTGATTATATCTTCATTATATGTCGCAGATATTGTTAAACTTTTTAAATTTGGTGTCTTTTTTGCAAGCATTTCAAAATTATCAAATGTACACTCTAAATTACCGATAATCATTCGTTTTAGATTAATAACACATAGGTCACTAATAAACATGTCTGTATCTTGTGAATATCCGTTGCGAAGACATTGAATATTTAAATATTCTAACATAGGCATATGTTTCAATAATTCATATAACTCGTTTAATGAACAATCAGATATAATTAAATTTCGAATTGATGAAGTTTCGTGAATAGAACATAGAGGAAAGTTGGTAGATATAATTGATAACGTTTGTAGTTTAGACATGGGTAGATCAACAAGTTTGATATTCAGAATTGAGGACTCATTAATCAAATGTAAGCAACACAACTGAGATATTAATGATAACATTGCTCCTATTTTTTCGGCATTTCTATCATTGATTTCATTCACAGTTAATGATCGAAGATTAGTGAACTCACCAAGTGAAAAAAATGAGAGAAATGCTTCAATTTGAAAATTTGTTTCTTTATCTGATAAATGTAATGAATAAATTTGACTTTTCATTTCCAGATTTGATGACATTTTTCTGCAAAATTCACCAAATTTTGATTTGTTCGCATGTCGAAAGTTGAGATGTAATGGAATGTTTCGAATTAAGTTATTGAAACGATAATTTAACCCATCGAATGAATAAAAGAGGTCCAATCCATTGAGATGCTTGAAGCAGCAAAGTAATATTTCATTTGGTAATAATTCAAATTTCATTACACGTTGTTATACTTGACTCACCAAAGAAAGGATTAAAACATTCGAAACAACGTGTAGATATATCTTCCGATGTAAAGCATACGCGTATGACTATATAAAGTATGTTTGTTTATTGAGTCATGTCTTATATAATTGGTTGGAAAGAAAAAAAAATGGGTTATTAGGCAATAATAGCCTGTGCATTTTTTAATTTTGAATTGCTTCGTACCGTCACAACCGAAATGTACATAGATACAAGAATGATGAAATGTTCGACAAACGAAGAAGCCGACCGACAGGGAAACAATATTTTGTGAGCTGATGTTCGATTGCACCATAATATCATTTAAAATAGGATTGAAGTGATTCTTGGTACATCAGTCTGAATTCCGTTTAAGGGATTCAACGAATAAGGGAAAAATATGGATACCATCATAGAGGCACATAAAATCATGTAATGACGAATAGATTTAACACGAAAACGTAGCCGTAAATACAGAATAGATGCTTGAAAAATAGAATTCTATATTGTTAATTGTGTTAGTACCACACCGTTCCAAATTTGAAGCTAATGATATCACATTTACGTGTTCGACTTACTACAAGCACTAATTCGTTCCATTTAGTTAGGACGTTTGCCTTGCAGAGAATTGGAATTTTCGCATGAGAGAAACCGCGCCCTTCTGCTGGTAAAGCAAAGTAGTGAGGCAACTCATTTTGATTTTCTCAGCATATGTTATCATGAAATGAGCCGAGATATCTCATTGGACATGTTCAATTGTCTACTGGGATAACTCGAGTATATAGTTAGGATGTGGACGTGGGGTGTGTCTGCAAGTTTGAGTGCGATGGATGCGGGTACGCATATTGGTATGCGTGTGGATATCGGTCCGGGCTCATTTGGTGATATGGATGAGTATAAATGTGTTTTATATGTTCATTAGATTTCACATCCACTAAAATATATCCACTAAAGGACCAAGATATCTCAGAGTTCGTTGAGTTGTCAGTATAGCATCACTTGAGAAAGAAATGTTTTGATGTCAATACACATGTGAACTTTTTGAACATTTCGTTTTAATTTAATTGTTTTTCAGCATTCCAAATATTTTTAAGAGTAAGTTACTGAAACAGTATGTCTTCTGATTTCATAGGACTCAAATTTGAGCACAATATGACAAAACACAAGTAATTACAGAGTATGGGTGTGGGGTGGATGTTGGTAGTTTGGGTGCCGACATTAACCTTTCTAAATCTACACCCACATCCTAAATCATTTTCTTTCTCAAATAAAAAGTTCTCACTTTCTTTGCATGGTTTTATTCAAATAAAACAAAAAAAACTCATTGTTACATTCAAAGACTACTCTTGAAATTGTTTTTACAGTATTCTCAGGAAGATAATTCAACGTTCAATATGTTCTATCACATCTTCTCAAATCATTTTATTATGGAAACATATTATATATAAAATGAAACAAAATAGATAAGACCTAGTGAAGAAAAAAAAATGTTAATTAACTTTACCAAGTCTATTGACAATGGTCTAATAAAGGTGATAGCAAAATTTAGGATAGTACACTATTTGATTTGTATTTGGTATAATATGTACATACTTGTTTGCTTTGAATTAATACACTCTCTACTTGTAATCAATTTTACTTACCAAATAATTGGCGGTACCAATAAAACCAAATGTGAACATTATCGATTAACATATTATTAGTTGATCAGACACACAAATCCATAATTTGAAATGATGTTGCCAACGTGCTATATTCATCATGTGCACATTACCTTTTCTGAGAAGAAATGCAAAATGAATGTTAGAAAGAAACAAATCTATACTAGCATGATATTTTCTCTCTATTACATGCATATAACTTCATGTTCTCTCTGATATAATATATGGAAATATTCAGTTGCATTCGATTATATTGCAGAGCATATTTTCTGATATACTATGACAAGAGAATACAAAACATAATTGTTGACTTTTCAATAGGATTTTTAGCATTCTAACATGTATTTATCCAGATTCTAAGAAGCCACACCGGGAATGTCGACATATAAAAGGAGTGAAATGCAATAGAACATTTAGCACTCTCTTAGTTGAAAAATTTTCTAACTTCAGAAATTTTTCATATAATCTAAAGTCTATCGATTCTCTTCATCCTATATAAACGAATCGTAATACCTTTAATCTTCATTTCAACACAAATAATATATCCACGAAGCAGTTATGCATTATTTTCACCTAATTACGTTTCTTCAAGATCAGGCTTGCCAAATTGAAATTTCGGATATCAGGAGTTTTTTATCAAAAAACAGATGTTTACCAAAAGAATTTCTTTTATAAATCAGGAGAAAATTCAGAAGCTTTTTTATCTGAAGTTAAAAGAATATTAGGTGATTTTCTCGTAGAAAATTGGAATTTTCGCTCACATAAGCACTTTTATCTTTTTCATATCAAGTTGATGATCAATAATTTAATACAAATGATATTATTTTCACTTGAGTTCTATCACAAGTAATGTTTTTTGCTATATAGAAGAATCATGAAAACATTTTTTTTAGTTATATCTATTATATACACTTGACCAGTTAATATTCTTATCTTCGTTCTTTCCAAATTCTTTTTCATTGTGAAGTTCAAGCAAAAATATTTATATAAATTAATAGAAAGATAGAAAGACTCTTACCAGAGTTGAAAAAAAGACAATCATTCTTTGGTTTTTACATCACTGTATGAATCGCTTACACATGCTTCTTCGCTCATTTTTGCAATGAGCGTTTTATATCGTTAATATGCTATAATAACAAGATAAGTTTACTTTTAACAAACAAAGTTGTTTTTTCTCTTAAGCCTTGTATGATATATTAAATGAACATTTTATCGAAATGGCTATTGCTTCTACTTCTTTTTTATTGATGCCTTCACTTTTTTTGTTGTATTATAGATCTATTCATTCTTATCATGTTTGTATTTCCTATCAAACTTTGGCAACAAAATAGCAGTGCAAATGAGCCTATAGCAACTTCATACTAATAATGAAAATGAAACGCAGAATTCTTGCTAGATTATTCAAGATATTGTCCTATTCTGAGCTAAAAAGGATCCGACGTGATTTCCAAGAAATGCAGAATTCTTTTCAGAATGAGAGACATCTTGTCTGGCTATTTAAAATTTCATCTATCGGTCTCTTATCTGATTTTCAAGATCTTGTTTTTCAGACAATAACATGTAGTTCTCTGCTATCTCCAGTAAAACAAGTATTTTGTACACAATTAGGTCATGTAATTGATGATGTGTTTTTTAGAGAAAAATGAAATAAAAACAAGTATTTTCTTATTCGTTACTATAATTATTAAATACTGCAATAGTTCTCTTTTTTTCTTTTAACTCTCTTATTAGTTTACAGTATAACTAACAATCAAGTAGGAAAAAAAACTAAAAATCAGGAGTAAATGTTGAAAATCAGGTCCTGGAATCAAGAGATTTTCTATCAGAAGAAAAGTCCAAAAATCAGGGATTTGGTAAGCCTGTTCAAAACATACATTCATTAACATGATTTCGTCGATAGCAGAACTACTCGTTTATTATAATCAATGACTACTATTATCTATAATTTCAAATGAAGATAATTCATACGTTAAATAATCAATGTAATATGAACGTGAAATCATTGCCTATAAAAAGTAAAATACAAACGATGATCATTAATTTATTCTAAGGAATATTTTCGTGCTAGTATATCAATTATTCTCAAATGAAGCATGCAAATTCCATTAATTCTTGTCATAAGGGTAAAATAAATCTTCCAATTATACTAAAAATCGGCCCTATCGACCCAGATTCACAATATAAATGGTCCATCAAGCACCAAATCACAGTGAATATTTAAATCATCGGAGATTATATGGTTTTTATCGAAAACAATTACATATTCATTTAACGTCAATTCTCATGATACACATCACTGTATTAACACATGCCCGGCTCTCCATAAACTGGTTCCTATTTCTAAACACTATGGCCTACTTCAGAGTCAGAAGAAGATGAGACCAATTACAATGCCAATCTACACAGAAAGGTTTACCATAGTGGTGTATATCAACGCTAATACATTCATTTTTCTCCGTTCTCCTTTTCCGTATAATTTTTCTAAAATCTTAATGTAGATAAACTTTTACCACTTGAGGATTCTTCTCTTAATTGAGATGAAATCGCCATTCTGGTAGTTATTGTGTAACTCACCCTTACCTTCTCCCTCACTTTCAAAATAAATACTTTTCCTATATATCTTTTCTTTCAAATGAAGACATATCCTTTTTATGAAAATAAACAACTTTTGAAAAAACTCTGAATCGATATTCGGATAGAGCATATTTCAATGTGTATGTATTCATACATAGATCAATGCAAGAATGTAAAGAAAAACTGGAAAATAAAAGTTAAAGTACGAAAAAAAAATATTTGTTCCTCTAATTTTAGTGAATACTGTAGTTTAAATACTATTGACGTTTGTTTTGAGATTGATGTGTCTTATTAGTTTTGGTACCACTGAAGGTGAACGAGCCGAGAAATCTATCAAGAGTCATATTAAGTACTCCATAGTTATGTTTAGCCGTACCCAAATGATGTATATAATGAAGGGCGCGTAATTCATGATACCATTTAAAACGTTCGAGCCAATGATCTTCTACGTGATAAGCATGATGAAGCCAATTTCCAATAAATGCCATGATCATGAATCCGAAAAAGGCACATACAATCGTCGAATACGAACAATGAAAAACTAGACGAGCAATAATCAATTGAATGAATGTTAGCAGAATAAGTAAACCTTCATGATCAGAAACCCATGTTTTGTGACGCATGTAATCCCACCATGATATTGGTAATGGATCAACACTACTTGCAGGACTACTCATTTGATCAGTCTGTCGCTCTCGTACACCGTAAAAATCATTTGGTGGATAAAGTTCCCAATGATGTTCTTTATGTTTCTTATAACAACCTTCATTAAATGGTATCCACCAAAGTCTATTATGAGCTTGCCAATGCCACAAGTAAAAAGCAAAATATTCCACAAAATAGAACAAAAGTATTGTATACCAACAACAACCTGTCATGTATGAAACGATGAATGAGTAGGTAATAAGTGTAGCATACATATATCGAAGAATTGAATATCCCGATACTCCTAAAATACTTGCATCATTTTCTACGTTGATCGATGGTTCGCCAGTAGGTACAGGTAATTTCACAACATCAGCATCAATTGGTGTTCGACTATAGTTAATAGTAGCTTGTCGAACAAGAGGTGGTTTTGGATTGGATGAATGGTTACCTGACAAAAAAATGTCATCAAAACCTTTTTTCGAAATGCTACTCTAAGCGAATAAAATTATTCCTAAAATAATTTCATCTATTCAGTAGAGATTAGGTCAATAACTAACAACTCATTAATTCTAACAGCTTCTTAAATTCGTTTTCTCAATTTCATCATAGTCTTTCAATAACTTTGTTTTTAGTTAATTGTTCGGAATTGGTTGTTTGTTTGTTTATTTTAATTTTATACTTTGATTGAAACAATTTTCGGTAGTATAACTTACTCATGATATTTTCCGAATCGATTAAACCATCCGTTGTTTGCTCTCTTCGAACAGAAGTCTTCATAATATTGTTTTCTGCATCTTTCATATTTTGATCAATGTAACACACTTGTTTTTTCTTTTTAAATGAAAGAAAATTTCTTTTTGGTCACGAAAAACACCTGTTCGAATGTTGTTTTGTTAATGCACCATTTGGTGAATGTGTGCGATTGACGTTTTCATTTTCCAATCGTACATTAAGTGTCTCTTTCCATTAATGTCTGCATAATGGATTCAAAAATTAATTTTGCACACTACGAAGCTTATCAAAACATTACAGAACGGAACAAATTTCGTCTATATCAAGTAGATTCATCATTTTTCGTTCTCCATGTTGGATACACAGGTGAATAATGTTTAACGACAAATAGGGTGTAGCTTTGGTTGTCGAGTGTGCATTACAAAACTAACCGTCGAATGACTAACACTTGCACTTAAAAAAATTCAATAAACATTTGTAGAGTTTACACTAATGTCATATACACTTTGAAGATTTATGAGGCGAAGGATTTGTGAGCATGAAAGTTCATGAAAATAAAAAAAGTATATGATTTCTTCGTAAGAGTGTGTGTGGGGTGTGAATAGGGATAGATGTGGTTTTGGAGCTCTGTCTCTTTCACATCCACATCGAAGATGCGTCATGTTTCTTTGTTTAACTATGTAATCGATAAAAATTGATAAAAAACTGTTAGCTGAATCTTTGATGGATTAAAACATGAAAAACGCAATAAATGCTGTTGCTAATAGAAAAATGGCTTAAGAAATCCGTAACATATCAATACTATAAATATTCGATATTCTATTTGATTTCTTAGCTAAAACTAAGAGTATTATTTTAGATTTGTTTATAAACGTCAAGTTTTCTCATCTAGCAACTTATAAGCATCGATACTAAATTTTAAGTTCGAAAGCGTGTGCGTGTAGTTGTGAAGAAAGATTTAACAAATATCCACCCATATTCACATTCTACGATATAAGAGTATCATACCAATGTGTCCTAAGAAATATGCAATGGAAAACCTATAGTAGCTACAAAATTCTTAGAAGATTCAATCGAGACTTCAACGATTCAATTAAAATTTTCTATACCAATATATTAGGAACTTCATTGATTCAAAGTTTCCACTATACTGATATAGAAGAATAAATCTATTTTTGAATCAACACTTACATGATTCACAATTGAACATTTTGAATAACGGTAATCACCACTTCTTTTAAATACACAAGAATTATTTCGGCCGGAGTCTATTCTTTTCTTTGTGAACTTGAATCCATGGGGAGATTTAAGTCCTCTGATGCGTTCCTTAAACAACAAAAAAATCCGTTAGGATTGCTCTGTACACACGTACACACCAGATCTTCACATCCTTAACATAAAACAGTATTTCTTTCCTCGTTTGATTGCTTTTTTTCTCAAAAGTGATCAGTTGGTTCTGGGTAAAAAGCTACTACTTCAATGCGTCCATTTGTTTATACATGATAACTAATTTGGAATTCATTGTGATGTTTTTTTTTGAGTTATTGATTATAAAGCAGCTTACGATCTAGTCAGAAAACAATGAGGTGCGCATTAAAAATAACGACAGCAATAGTAATTTTAGTTTTGCCTTTTTCCTATGATGTTATGGAATTTTTATCATAAGACTGTTTATTTGTTGAGTGAATCGTGTTCTCGCTTAATAGAAATATGCTAATTATAAATTATCAGTATTTGTTATACTTGCATGAAAAATCTATAACAGTTATTCAAAATGATATCATTCGCAAATTTTCCTAAACACATTTCTACTTATTTACTAATTTAGATTTCTCACCCATACAAACTCAATTAGCATATCAACAATATTTCTATTTATATCTTTTAGGCTCCCGGCATAGAAATGCACATAAAACGTAAAAACTATTGAACAATATAAATTGCTTTGACAAATTCAAAGCGACATTCACGTATCCAATTATTATTGATTTTTTTATACAATAATAGCAATGATTGAAAATTGAGAATCGTTATACTTCTACAAAGTGAAAATATAATTAATCAGTGAAGTAACCAGAGCTTCTCATGATCAAAATCTCTGCTACTGCTTCAAAAGGATAAGTACAGTAATGTTTAAACCAAAATGTAAATATACACAGGCAGAATATGAACTCTCTGGAAAATTTGTGGAAAAAAAATAAATACAATTTTTTGTGTACAGTATGTTTCTGAACGCTTCCAGACGCTGGGTTTTTGTCAATTTTTGGGGAAAAACCTTAACTGTTTTTGATTATGATAACTTTTGATAACAATAAGTTTTGCCAAGGGAAAAAACTGCGCAAAAAATACTCCTCATCATTTTTTTAGAGGTTTTCATATAAAAACTCACATGCTTGCCAGTCTAGGCAATAGCCGTTGATGTTTATAGATTATTCTCGTTTGTTTTTCTTTGTGGCCAAAATTGATAGTGTTGTTGTTCTTCCGGTTTCGTTTTTCTCTGTAGTACACAAATTGACTGTATAATATGTACATTTATACATTTACTTTCACAAAATATGGGTATAATACGTCTGCAAAAGTTTTTCGAAGAAGATCTGGCTTTACTACAAGAAATTGAACTACACGATTGTAATGTCTTACTTAACAGAAACTCTATTTCTCATCAAATGTATACGAAATGTGAACTAATCTGTATATTTGCTCGCGATTATGATCAATTCTATTGTAATTGCAAGCAACTTTTCGAATCATTTCGTACTTATCAGATCAAGTAAGTCATTTTTTTGGATTATTTACTTTATTTTATTTTTCGCTTCGTTTAACAAAATGTCATGGTGATGTTTGATAGTGCTCGGATTGACAATCAAAAATGGGGCATTGAACTTGAACAAGCGAAGAAACGTATTAATTACTCGATAGAAGTCAGTAAGGATGTCGACTTAGGTCCATTACTTCTTTGTCAAACATTGCTCAATGTACTTGAGGGTGTGGGTGTGGGTCTTCTCTCCATCTACAGCTACGCTTACACCCACACTCTACTACTATCGGGAGAATAATTAAAATTTTCCCCATGAATACCTATACTGATATTATACATTACAAAGTTAAATATTTTTCCATGGAACATATCAAAAACTAAGAACAATAAACTATTTAAGAGATTGTATATCATTGATTTCCCGACTGAACATGAATAATTTTTCATAGGTTATATAACTTTGGATTCTCTACAAAATGATAAAGAATATTCAAAATAAAAAGAATTTTCGTTCGATGGGAAAAGTGGCTTACACTGTGACTAGCCATGAAAACAGTCTAAAGAAAAATGATCTCGAATACTTTTCAATATCTTTCATTTATGAAAATTTTTATCTTAAAGTAATTTGAACTTCATTCTCGGTAGTCCTGTACAGATAAATTACAGTCAATGTTGAATGTTGATTATATGATTGTGATCAACGTCGCAAGCTCCATCGTCTCGGATGATTGTTATTTTATTAGACGAAAAAGCAAGTTTTATTCTATCCAAATTAAAGTTCGAATTGTTTCAAGATGAAAATTTTCATGCATGAGGAACACTGGAAATTCTTCGAGATTATTTTCATTGAAATTACGTCTCTGGCTAATGAGAGCGTAAGTTGCATTTGACATCGAACACAAACTTTTTTTCAGTACTCTTTCCACCATTTTGTGGAGAATCCAAAGTGACATGAGCTATGAAAAATTCAGCACTTTTTCGTTGATATTAGTTCAATAAATACATGATATAAAATTTCTTAAATTGTTCATTTTTTCTTAACTGTTATTTTCTCGAAAAATATCCCAGGTGATTCGATCCGACTGTCGGATTACGTCGGATTATATCGGATTATATCGGAAAAATTACCGGATTTTAACGGATCCGACGGGAACTCGTCGGAAGTTGTCGGCGTCCTAGCCACAGGATTCCGACAGGAGGTTCCGGATGTCGGAATAATCAGGATCCTGCGAAATCCCTGAAACTCCGACACTTTCCGACATCCAGAACCACTTGTCGTAATCCTGTGGTTAGGATTCCGACAAATTCCGGCGAATTTCTATCGGATTCGACAGGGTGAATTCGACCTGGGATATTGAATTTATTTGATTTGCTTTTATAAATTAGATAAAATGGTTTTTTATTTAATGAAAAAATATCAAATCAACTTATGGATTAGGCAGTTTTATGTGTACAAATAAAAACAGCAGAGTACGATTTTAAATATATACTTAGATAAATCTTTCTCGTCGTTCTTTTACCCTGCGTACGACAAATTATGTTTCCTAACGTTCCTAAGAATGTACTCATTGATCTAAAGTATTGATGAACGTCTAAAAGATTATTAATTTATTCGTTTACCTGGTCATAATACAAATAATTAATCGAGAGAAAAAATAATATGAATTGTGCATTAATCATAGTATATACAATGAAGAAAAGAATGATAATATATACAAATGCTTATAACAAGAAAAAATTTTCAAGTTGAAAATTGTGTTATCAGATTTGTGTATCTAAAAAATATAAATAGATTATTTTCGAAATTTCTAGAATGTATTTATAAATCTAAAGACTATTTTATTTTAACAACATCACTTTTATGTCTGTATAACTTATTTGAGTCAATTAATTAGTTTTGTGATACTATTAAGTCAATTTTATTGGTGTCAATGGTAAATCTACATGCAACAGTTCAAACTATTATTCTTTTGGTCTAGATTTTTTCAGCGACTTTTCATAGTAAACAAATTTCGTTTAATCTTTCTTTTTCTGGTATGATTGTGCTCAACGATAATTCAATGGCTGCTCAAATAACATACCAAGAACTTCTGTTCAGCGAAAGACTGAATAATAATAGTTAATATTGTATCTTGCTTTTTTATAAAACATAACAGATGATTTGTAATGTGTTCGTACTTATTAAACTGTAATGGAATATATTTCAACTTATTTTTCATTCTAATTAGTGTGTGTTTCAGTGACTAAACTACATAAAAATATTTCCATTCGATTTGGTTGTGATTTCTGACATGTATGACTTTGAAAATTACTTTGATAACTTATCTGATGTAGTTTGGAACGTAGAAAAATGAATCTAAATCGAATTTCAAGTTCTAAAAAAAACATTTGAAAAGAGATAAGCACAAAAAATATTGAAAAATATATAAAAAACTAGTTATCGATAGAGCAGTAGGGTATCTTGTGTGCTTCAGAAAAGGGTTAGCTGCTACTTGGATATTAGAACTTTTATACTTATCGCATAAGCCTTTTTCTATACTCTATCAGAATTCATAAAGATATTTCTGGGCTCATCCACATTTGTGGAGGAATCAAGGATATACTAAAGAAAAGAACAAAAAACAATAAACATACGTCACTTAGTTTTGTATCTGATGTTCCTATATAGTGAAGGTTGAAGAAACGTACATATATACGTTTTTGTAGTTATATTAGCTGCATCAAATGGAATCTCGTCGAAGAATTGATTAAGCACCGAGGCTAATGAAAAGAAAATGTTCTTTTCAAAAAATTTGTTGTAAACCTGCTCAATGTTTGTTTCATCAGTTTTCGGAGACAAGTTAGAAAAAACTAAAAACTTGGTTGGAAAGATTTTTGATAATGCTCTTTCGTTTTTGATAAAAAATAATATAAGAGCCAACATTTTCAAGAGTATGAACATGTCTAAGGATGTTCAATATTCTAATGAACCACCTTGTAAATACAGTTGCAGCAAAAATTATCCGTACGATTTTGTTTTTGATGAAAGATAGTCAGAATACCGATCTTTT